TTTTACTTCTATATATAGAATAGATTCTGCATAAATCTCAAAAAGTCGAAATATCTCAAAAATCCAAAATCAATTTTGAGAACATGTATATAAGTAATGTTATCGAATTTGGATTATAATAGAAAATGCAGAGTAACTAGAGGACCTTATCATAATCTAACTCTTCACCTCTTTTTAAAGAAAATTGATTAAAAATATTAAGTTGATATACAAGTTAAGACATGAGGTATCCAAGTGTAGCAACAGAAATTAATCACAATTGTCATTTGAATGACATGAAAAAAAAAAATTACATATTACCCATGGCACATATCTTAATAGCTCTCAATTGATATTACAAATATGATTTACACATCATAAATATTTTTTTAGATTATACCAGGTTATCTGTGTGGCCTAAAAAATGAAATGCATGTTATTTAAGTCATACATTTTTTAGATTATATCAAGTTATCTGTGTAGTCTAAAAAATGAAACATACGTTATTTGAGCGCAGCCTAAAAAATGAAATGTACATCATTCAAATGCAGCCTAAAAAATGAAACTCATGTCACAGATAACTTGATATAACCTAGACTAACTGGAAATAATATAATTGTATTATTTCTGGTCTATGCTACTTACTTTATTTTAATTTTTAAAATAGATAATATCATAAATTTTTTTACTAGTTGGATTTAATTCTCACCAATACAAAAAAAAAGATCATAAATCTTTCTAACTTTTTCCATATCAAAAAATCAAAATCAAAACACATATGCCAAAACTAGACTAACTATTTGTAGCCTGTTTATAGGTTATTCACAAAACATCCTTGCCTATTTGCAAATATTCCTTACCATACTTTTCAAAAAAAAAAAAATTGCCTGTTGTTTTCATTTAACTTGTGTTCTGTTCTTCAGATTGTAGAGATTGTAGGTTTGAAAATCTAATTTAGAAGTTGATCTCTAACCTCTTTATTGAACTTCTTCTGAACCTTGTATTCTTCCTTGGTTTGTTTAGTAAGTAAGATATTTCTTCATTTCTCTAAAAAGTAATAAAAGTATCTTCACATGGATTTCTATAGAGCCTTTCTTTTTTTCTGAATTTTGGTAATCAATTCTCAGATAAGCCTTTTTAATACACAAGAGTTCTCTTCTTTAACCTGTATCTTAACTTTTTTTGCTTGAGGATTTTTCAGCAGATTTATCCTCAAACAGGAAGGTATATTTGCAAAATAGGTAATGCAATTTGGTGCTAAAAATTTTGCTGTAGATTTTAATCAGATTGGATTTCAAGTCAAGTTTCTTTTCCCCCCTTTTCTCATCTTCATCCCCCTTCCTATCAATGTCTAATGTTTCAAAAGAATCAATTTCAAAATTATTCACCAACATATCAGCTTAGAGCAGAAGTCTTACTGGATAGAAAAAATTGAGAATCTCATCTTTTGTTTCCCTAATAATCTCACCACAGATGGGTAAAGGATAAGCATTTGGTATGGTAAGGAAAATTTTTCTTAAGGCAAAGATATGAGCATTATGAATGTCTTAAGAGGAAGTGACAATATATTGTATACATTTCAAACATTGAGCTAGCTCTAGAATTTCTATATTGTTGACAATGCTTTCAGGTTAGAAAGAGCCATAGACCGCGTAACAATAACAGACAGGTAACGAATTCCTATACAGTATATCCTGTTTGATTTTCAAACGAACTAAAATTTGCACATCTCTGACAAATTAAGTGTTTTCGTTATCACGTAAAAATTAATTATCGGAAAAAAGAATGACCTAATAGAAGAACATTAATTGTAACTTCTATAACTAAAGATGTCATATAGACAACAATCTAAAAAAAAAACTGTTCAGATTCAATCGCTTTAATATATTGGAGCAAATTCGCGTTCCATAGGTTAGGATAAAAAAATGGATTAAAACTTGGTGATTCGAATTATTATATTATCTGTATGTAGAATATTAGACCCAATTTAATACTTTATAACTTTATTTTTTAAATTACATATTAAATTTTATTAGTTATTATGTAGGCTAAGAATTTACAAAAAGAAAAGAAAAAAGGTTGAATTAAATTACCAAAAAAGGTCGAAATTGAAAGAAAAGTAGAGGTGAAAACATAAGTTAAGAAAAATGCATCTCATATTTTTTTTTTACTAATGACCAGTTATTTAAATCAAAACCAACTCTTAATTATTTCAAAAATTCTATTTTTTCCATTATCTTCGCTATTTCCAATATTTTCGTTATCTTCGCTATTTCCAATATTTTCGCTATCTTCGCTATTTCCAATATTTTCGTTATCTTCGCTATTTCTAATATTTTCATTACTTTCATCATTTACATCATTTTCACTATTTTCATTATTTTCATCATCATTTTCATTGATATTAACGTTCCGATATGCTGTAATCCAAGTATGATATAATATATTAGAAAGTTGTAATATATCCTCCTTTCGTTCATGATTAGGTTCCAATTTTCGAAATTGTCCCGTTATTATTTGACTTCTAGCAACTCCTTCGGGTGAAACAAAATCTAATGCAACTTTAATACAACTTGTATAATTACAAACTTGATGGGCACATCCGGCTGGTATAAATACTACATCTCCCGGATTTTGATATATTCTCCATCCCGTAATACCATATTCTTTTTTTAATCTTTTACGTAATTTTTCATTAAGATAAAAACATTGATCATGAATTGGATGATTTATAATGATTTTTTGTTCTTTGGCAACTTTTTGTAAGAACGCACATATTTTGGGAAGATCTTCAATATGATACATATCCCATACTGCTGCATGTTTATAATTTTGTTCATGTTTTGATCTTTGAAAAAATGGTGTTGCATAAGTCATTACATTTACAGCATCTGTCATATCTAAATGTAAATTTGTAGTGCCTTTTCCTCTTCCTCCTTTATCACTTGATCCATATGCGTTATACATTTTGGGTCCAAGATCAGGAGGATTGGTGTCATTTGGAAGTCTAGAAACAAGATTTAAAGCACCATCACGACATATATATCTTTTAAATGGTAAAGATAACATAAAATCCTTATAATGTTCTGGAAATACTTTAGCAAAATCTTCGTTTGGTGGCCAATCCTAAAATTGACGCGAATTTTTCATCAACACAAATAACTTATTAATAAATAAATAAATAACAAAATAAATAAAAAAGTTATAATTTACCTTGAGTTTCAAACAAGGAATACGACCAGAAGAATTTAAACTTTTAACTTTATTAAATCCATTAAAAAATTCACCAACTTTAATTACTGAATGAGATTTTTGTTCGTCTTGTTCGTTAAGATTAATACATGTACAACTTATGTGTCCAAAATGTTTCTCAAAATATTTAGGAGTCCATAAATTTTCAGTCAAATTATCATAAACAGATGAAATAACAAAAGGTTTTCCTAATTTATACATCTGACGAAACTCTTTAATACTCATTTTTCCATCTGACCATCTATTCTGAGTAACTTGAGATCTTCTTTTTTCCATAATATTTTCACTGTTTTTATGGATATGTTCATTGATATCATTTAGGAGTCCTTCAATTTCCGATAAAGAAAATCTAGAAATTGGGAAAAATGAATATTTCTTATGTTTACGATCAACAATTTTACATTTATAATTTTTACTATTTATCCACTCTTCATAACATTCAAGACATATCTCAGTACCACAACATGAACACATCCAGTAACCAGCGAAAACAGTGGTGTTGCAATGATCACATAAATGACGTACACCAGATTCAAGTATTCGACACACAGTTCGACGTTTTAGATGTCGAACTTCTTTTATAAGAATTTCTTTTAATGTTGGAGCAATTGATGCTATAAATATATTAAAAAAAAAATAATAAATGGAAAATATCATAAAAATTAAAATCATATTATTATTATTATTATTAAAAACTTGCAATTCCCTAATGTTTAAAAGAATAATAAAAATAAATATTCACTAAGAACATAAACTTCTTCATCCGGTGGTCTAAATTGATTTGTTTTATAGGAGTACGTTGGAAGTGATTGATCCGATGATCTAAAATTATAATTTGGACCTATAGTTTCTGGTGTTAATTGTTCAAAAATACGAAATCTTTGGAAACGACAAGATTCTTGGCTTCCTGATATACCTAAATAAATTTTGTAAAAACTAATATAAATAAAATAATGGAACTTGAAATTCGAAATCAAAAAATTTCCGAAAAGAAAAAAAAAAGGGGGTAATATTTACATGCAATGCACGGATCAAATTGATTATATGGTTTCTTCTTACAAGATTCATCTTGTAAATAAGTATATAAATGTGGAAATCCATATTCGTAAGCTTCTGTTAATCTTCTATATTCTTCTTCTAAATTAACAGTATTACTTAAATCTTCATCAGTAAAATTATCTGTAGTATCACTTTCGGTTGTTTCATCAATCCAACTTTTTGTCTGACTACTATTATCATCAAAGTAGTCAAAATTAATTTCTGAATCTTCACTAATTGTTTCCGTTTCACTATTACTAATATTCTCTATAATTTGAATATTATTATTATTATCGTTATTATTAATAACATTAATATTAACTTCGTTACTGACGATAGTTTCTATTTCACTATGACATTTGCCTTCAATTAATTCCATCTTATCTCCAATTTTCGGTGCTATTTTTTTACACGCTGATACAACCTGATCATAAACATCTAAATTTGATTCATTTTTATAAAAATTTGAATTGACTGTTACACAATCGTTTTCTGAGCGATAAAAATCTAATGTTTTTTGTTCTAAAGTAAAGTCTACGTGATTGGTTTCCATAGAGTTAATAAGTATATCTCTATTAATTGTTGACTCGTTTTGACATAAATCATTTGAAATTTCTGAATCGGTTTGTTGAACTTCCGAAATAGACGGAATTGATTCAGTTTCACTTCTAATCATATCCGGTAATGGGTCAGTCTCATCATCTATTAATTCTGAATATGATGACACATTTCCCACATTTTCAGAAGATTTTAAAATTCTTGGACGTTTGAATGAATGAGAATCACTCTTTGGGAGAGCGGAATCGGCATCTCTTTTTGAAGCCAAAAATTTACGACTAATAATAATAATAATAATGATGATGATGATGATGATGAAATATAATTACAAATAACGAATTAACAAATAATCATTATAAATAAAATATCAAAATATTAGATTAAATTTACTTTCGAGAAATCTCCGTTATTTTATTATCATAATTATCAATTGATAAATCATCAGAATCATCTAAATTAATTAATTCTAAATTATTGTCTGAATCACTATCTGGTATATCGGGTAAACTACTTAAATCGGAATAATCAAATAATTCCGATACTAAATCCTGATAAGTTGTGTCGGATTTTTCTAATTTTTCTAATTTTTGATTTAGAGAATGATCATCATCGTCATCATATAAATTTGAAGATTTTGAAGATTCGTCAAATTTACGTTCAATGGTTTGAATATATGATATTTCTGAATGTCATATATATATAAGGAAAACGTAATCATTTTTTGAATTACATTAGATTTATTAAATTTTGAGAAAAGTTTTTAAAATCAAAATTTTTACCCTTATTTTGCTCAATAGAACGCGATTGACAATTACGCTGTAAAAAAAAGAAAAAAGAAAAAAAAGAAGCATTAAATAAGATGAGAAGACAATGAAATTTCAATATCTTTTTTCAATTTTATTATATTTCATAAAAAAAAAAAATCTCGACTTTAATAATAAATTTTTAATCAATTATCTTTGAACTTTTAAAATACCTTTGCGGAATAAAATTCCTTAATTTCTTCAATGCTACATCCAGAGAATATGGAAACTAATTTAAAAGAGTCTTCTTGAAAATTATTAAAGTTACAATACTTCCAAGAAATTTCAAGGGCACGTCGTTTACGTTCCTCACGACTATAATTCTTACAAGTATTTAATTCTTCTTCAAGACTTTTTTGTAATGTTTTTTTCCTTGTTTTCATTTTTTTAAGCAACCGTTTTTATGGAAACTTTGTTAAGCAACCGAATAAAAAAAAAAAAGGAGAATAATTGATAAAGATATGTATTTAATCAAGGTTTCGACAAAAATACTTGATTAAACAAAATTTTACCTTTTTATATCCGGATCCGGCGTCAAAATTCCGTTGTAATACAAGATTTGTGCGTTTATTTGTACGTGGCCTAACGCTAATAAAAAAATAAAAAATTAAATACCAGATTTTTGATTAATTAATTTTAGACAAACTTTACTTGTAGTTTATTTAATAAAGATCATCGCGAGAAAGTATCTCAAACAAAAAAGTATTACGCAACTTAAAATTAAAGTTAATAACACGATTCACACTATTGATTTTTATTTAATTATGTTCTATAGCTGATATTTATATTATTTTCTTTATTTGTTAAATTGATTTTGTAACATGAATGATTTTTTTTTGTTTTTGAAAAGGTTTATATAATTACAAAAAAAATCAGAAAATCAAAATTGTATATCTTCTTGTTTTGGACATATGCAGTGACAATGACATTTTTAGAATTGTTTGTTGATTATTCTGTTTACACATTGTTCAGAAATCCATTGTTATTTCTAGTTTATTTCTAAATATTATTATATATTTATTTATATTTGTTAATTTTCTTCTTTTTGATTTTAAAGACTTTTTTTCCTAACAAATCTTTGTTACATCTTTCCTTTATTATAATTTATTACAAGGGAATTATATTCTTATTAACCATACATTGATTTATATTTGAAGTATTTAAAAAGCAGTCGAAAAAAAAAAGAAATTATTACAATATCATGTATGATTAAAAGAAAGATTGAGTATAAAAAATCTAATCTCGTTTTAGAAAAAAAAATCCAGTCTCAGATTTATATTGAGATTGATGTACAGCAATTTTTATACAATTTTTTATTTTATTTATTTTACAAATTTCTATTCAAGGCTATATTTTGAATTTTATAATGAGATTTAATCATTAAATAATAAACAATGTATTTAATATAATTATTTTTCTAATAATTAGTCTTTTAATAAATAAAATTACAAAAAAAAAAAAAATTTAGAATAAAAATAATAAAACGTATTAATGTAAAGACAATATAATAATAATAATAATAATAATATCCTAATTCTATAAAGGATTAATAATAATCCAGGTCCTCTATCTACAAACTAAAAAGATTTAATAGATTCTTCTGTAACAATTGGTTGAGTGAATGAGGGAATTTCTGAAAAAGAACAAGTTCGCTGGCTGGTTTTATTATGTTTAAGAAAAGCACCAACAGAACCCAAATATCCCTCATGACGAAGGAAGAGAGCTTTCATTGTGCCCTTTGACCAAAAATTTATAGCATATGATAATGTATTCATTGTGGTGAGTTGTCCTATAAATTATAATTAGATATTAAATTTTGATGGATCTATATATATGGATAGAACTAAAAACATTAATACGAATATTAAAAATATATAATTTTTATTTACCTCTAATGAAACAACCACCAAAATAAATTTTCTTTAATCCGTGGACTTGAGCATTTAAATATGCTATTTGTCCAATGTTGTTACTATATTATATTGATAAATCAGTTGGATTTTGCATTACATAAATCGAGAAATCAAGAGAAATCAAGAGAAATCAAGGGAAATCAAGGGGAATCAAGGGGAATCAAGAAAATCGAAAAAATCGAAAAAAAAAATCAAGTAGAAAATCAAGTAGAAAATCAAGTAAAAACAAGAAACCAGAAAAAATCACGAAAAACAAGAAATTCGATAAAATTCTTCTCACCTAATCATATACAACAATGATTTTGAAATATCTTCATTACGAAAGTTGCCAACTTCTTGCCTTATATTCTTTTTAAAAACTTTACCCATGGATGAAGCAATTGTTGAGGACTTTAATCCAATTTTACCATAATCTGATCCATAAATATCACCTACCAACATATCCTAAAAATTAAAAAGAAAAATCCATTTATCTGAAAAGTATAAAAAGTATTTGAAAAGAATTTATTAAAAAAAGTAGTCTTACCACATTAGTGTTATCACCGTGTTTGCTCTTTTCCAACATTTCTAATTTATTAATCATATTTATTTAATTATTATTTTTCAAAATTTGGTTTTCAAAAAATTTTTACAATAAAAAAAAAATATATATATATCTAACCATCAAATGATGTCGCTCCTGTTAATAATGTCAAAAGACCCCATAATGTACCTCCTCCTAACTATGACAAATTATAAAATTCTATTAAAATTAAATAATTCTGTAACCCTAAATTATTATAAAATTTTTATTTACCGAGGTACCAGAAATACGTTCAAATTTATCATGACTTGTTACTTTTAATATGCTGAAAATAATAAAGAAAATAGATCAAAAATGAGATATTCAGAATAATGCATTAACATATTTCTATATTCACTTATTCGTTTTCTTATTCACTTATTCATTTCTCGTACCTTACACCTGATCCTATGTTAACGAGCTTTAAAGAAAAGATATTAAAGAAGTATGTTATTATATTAATTTATTAAAATGTGAAAATAATAATAATTATTATTATTGTTTTTTACCATATAAGGAAACATATTTGAAGAAATTGTGTCCTCAAAATGCATTGGATCATTATCACTATAAGTGAATACCTCGTAAGGAATCTCGGAAATTAAAAAATTTAAACCTATATCCAAGAATTTCTTTAATTATTTTAAATATAAATAATGATAGCTATAATCATCATATTTTATGATTGATATTAAAAAAAATTAAAAATTTAAAAAAAATTTAAATAATCTAACCAGTTATCAAACAATCCATTTCGTCTTCCTTTTCTATCTTTACATCACCCAATTTCTCAACGAAAATATCATAAAATTTATATGAACCACCACCAGTAGCTTTAATAACAATTTTTTCTTGCATTTCCTGATTTTTTGGTCTTCTGGCCACCAACAGAGTTTTAATAAAATCAATGCATTCATCTATTCTTTCAGTTTCAAATTTTGTGAAATTTAAACGACCTCCCAATGATAAATTTGGTTCTCTCGAGAAATAAACGACTTTAGCTAGAGAACCACCGATCTATAGTATATATAATATATAAATACTATTCACACGTATAAGAAAAGAATGAAAAAGTTATGTTCACACATACGTCAACCGCAATCTGAGGAGCATAATCGACCTGATTCGGCAATACAATATCTCTAGTTTCGGCATGAGGCAACTCTTCACAAATTTCTGCCCCTGTGGAGTTCATAATTCTTTTCTATTTACGGATCAAAAGTGTAAAATAAAATTGGGGTTTTCGAAAAAAAAAAAAATTCGATAAGCTATATACCATTATAATTATCACGATCACGATAATCGATCTCACGATGATACCAAAATAATACTAGATTGGATTTAAATTTACCCGACAGTATTAACGTTAAAACGGTTAAAACGAATGCTGATAATGACGAAATATTGAAGCTTATTAATGATTGTTTGACAAGATTAGTAATAAATGATTATTACCATATCAAGTATTTTTTATAGTTAGTTCGGTTTTTATTTCTTCGCTTGATATCTAGAAGGTTACAACAATGCAATAATGAAGATTAGTACCTGATTAGTCAAAAAATTGATTATTATGATAAATTGGTAAACGCGTTATTATCTAGTACTGCTGGAAACAATTATTAACGCGTCTTAACAAATCGTAAAATCGTACCATCCCTTAAACTCGTAAACATTCCATAAATATCTAAATTCCATTCATAACCTTCTATAAATATCCATATGGCACATTCATAACGCGTAAATAAACATCATGAAAAAAATAAACAAAATCGTGAATAAAAAATTGCGAAAGTAATAAAAATATTATAAATAACTACCTTTTCTTTCACCTCCTCTCTTAATTTTTTCAACTTAATACCTTATAATGATATAAATTAAATAGATTTTCTTTGAATAACGTGGATGTTCCATTTGATATTAATTAATAAATAAAGATCAACCGTCTAGGATAGTGAACAATTTCACGAAAAAGAAAATCGCTAAACAATAACCAAACTAGACATTCGATTTATTATCCATCGAAACATTTTTAAACCCGGAATAGTTTTCCACTTGATATCTTCACTCCCTTAGTAATTCTCCCGATTCTAAAAAAAGTCGTTCATATTCATATTTTTTTTTTCATTACATAGTTCAGTTCCCCCATATTATTTATTTTTGGAGTTCCATTTTTTATATATCCAATTTCCATCAATCACAATATTTTATTAAATAATAATTCTAAACCCAACGCTAATCTGTGTACACATAGTAATAAGGAGTAATAAGAATATGAGAAAAGTGTATGTGTGAGTGTGCCAGATACGCATACATGGAAGAAGTGTATACTGACTTCGTAATAATCATTTTATTCTTTTGGTTTTACAAAATTAAAAATCTTAGAAAAAATTAATTATGACACATAGATTAAAGCTCACAATCCAAATTCTTCTAAAATTCTCTATCAGAATGCCAATACCCTTTAAAAAAAAAATTATAAACCTTCCGCAAAATTTTCATAATTCTTTTCATAATTATATATATATATTTCTTATCAGAACTTAAAATCGATGACGTTAAGGATTAAATTTTTTGTTTGTTTCATTCGCATCCACCTTATAAGTCATATCATATTGAAATAAACACAAAACTTCATGAATTAAACACACAGGCATTCAGGTTACCACTTAATATTCTGTAATTTCAGTTTTTGAATGTTTTATATTTTTTTATTAACTTTTCTTCTAATAATTTTTTTTTTCTATTTTATCATGTCACACACATCGAACCATTCGTGCTATAAACCACTCAAATCCCTTTAAGCATTGGTAAAACTCAAGCTTTATACACATTTTCAGATCCCTGTATACCACATTCAAAATTTTTAAAAAACTTATGTTTTAAATTTTCTGAAAATTTATTAATCACCATGGATAGAAATAATTTCAAGAGAAAAGATTTCCTTTCATTACTGGCTACATAATGAGTGCCAGATACTATTCAAATATAGAACTTGATATAATCACCAAAAAATAGTTTAGACTTATAACTTATTAATTTCACATTTTAAAAGTAGTCATCAAGCAACTGATAATTTTTTTATAATTTCACTATCTCAAATAATAAATACGATTCCTTTTTAATCATCAATTGTGGATGACCAGTACTTTTAGTGAATTATCCTTAATGAAATCCTCTATTATTCTCTGATATCTTTAATGAAAGTCTTTAGGTGCTTCTTTATATAACATAATTCTCATAATATTTTGGATTCCTGATAATTTTAATTTTGTGTTTTCTGACTGATACATTTGTGAATTTTTTTTTTATACACTGTTTTTCATACACATTTTTCATACATTTAGTGCTATTTGTGCAAATATGTAATTGGAAATTTCATTACAATGTATAATTAAATTCTTTCTTTTTGTTTATTTTTTGGATATCTTATTTGTCAAAAAATTTAGATAGTTGTAATTACTACTATTCAAAAAGAAAAATTGTTTATTTTCTTTTTTAATAGAAAAGTTTTATATCTTTCCATTATTATCACATTTATTCTTTAAGTTCTTTTATTTTTTTATTTATTTTTGTTTTTTTAAAGTCATTTGTCAAAAGATTTGAATAGTTGTAATCATAATTATTTAAAAAGAGTTTTATATTTTTTTTGTTATTATCACTGTTTGTGCTAATCATTTACAACAAATAACAAAAAAAATTTTTGTATAATTATGTTCTTTTGACTTTAATATACTTTAATCTAAAATTGTTAAAAAGCACTTCAAGAAATCAATATATCATATAAAATGATGCATTTTTTTACAAATATCAGGAGTATAGTGTTCTTTGTAATGATAATTCTTTACAAATTTCTCAAACCAATCCAATTCAAAAATTAAAAATTTTTAGAAAAAAGTTTACAAATTAAAATTTTAAGTTTGTATGGAAAAGAACAAACCATATTAACATTATAATATTAGGCATAATGATTACTGGTTGAACATTAAGTACTTATTCTAACTTTTTAATTTTATTAATAATTTTTAATTTTTTTTATATAAATCAGTAGTCCTAAGCCTAATTAAATTTTGTCTATAATAAAAAATATTTCTGAATTTTGGCTTTAAATTTAATTCATTATATATATTTATATTTTTAATCTTTTAGCTTAAATCATTAATGAATTTAGTTTACTCCTGCTGTAAAAATTCTTATAAATCTAATGACAAAGTTGGAAGACAAAGTTTTAATGTCCAAAAGATTCTAATGTCTATACATGTCATCAAAAGTAAAAAGCTTTTGACTCAATTCCAATTTTTTCAATTTTTAATTGCATCAATTTACTATGTAAAAATGAAAATTTTGCTTGATTCAACTTCAATTTTTTTAATTTTTACTCTCAAAAAGATAATTTCAAAAAGACAGTCTTGTCTATAATCAGAAGATTCAAGTTCAGTTTATAAAAGAAATCATTTTATATAATTATTTCAGATATTGAATAGAATTATATGGATAATATTAGTGAATCACAATCTCTTCACTATTTAAACAAAGGAAAAACAAAATTTAATGAAGATTTAAATAGTTTAATATTATTGATAAAAAATATTGTTAGCTTATTTCTTTCTCTTATTTTTATCTTTATTTCATTATTCTTTATATGTATTATCATCTATATATTATCTGTTATTTATTATTATTTGTTATAGTTTTATAGTAATTAGAATAAGTAGATTAATTTAGTCAAGTCGTACGA